ATTTTAGTTAGTATTGTTACTTGATGTCAGATTTTTATAGACTGTTCTTTGTCAAATAACAATCAAAATGTTGAATGTGCAAGTAATTTTTTCCCCTTTTCATTTGAACGTACTATTAGACCATAGTTTTCCTTTGCTGTTCTTTTTATGTAAATAGTACTCTGTAGATACGGGTTCCCACGTTGTACTTGTTCAGTCTGATTTGTGCTCATGTTAACATGAGTGTTTCAACTTTTCTTATTTTACAGATGAATGTGAGAACAGCCTTCAAAGTTCTCCCTGACTGGATCCATCATTCTGAATACTGAAGGCTAGACATCCAACAGAGGTGTATAAAAGTTCAAATGAGAAACAGCTGTGTTTTACAACCTCCACTATCTAGTATTTCATAAATCAGTGTCCTTGTTGTGTGAAGAATGCAGTGGATGTTGTTGCTTGCGTTTTAAGAATGTTTCTTTAAAAAAAAAAAAAGAAAAGAAAAAAGGAACCATCCCCATTTTTTCCAAACTACCAAAACCACAACCTTCAAAATAAGAAATAATTGCTCAATCTTAGCTACTGGCCCTCCCACATCCACCCTTCCAGTTCCCCCCACGGGGAAGCTTGTGCGTCAGTGAGGGCTTGGAAAAGAGGAGAAGTAAAGCCTTTTTGATTTTCAGGAAGGAAACACATCTGGGGAATAAGGAAAGAGAGAACGGGTGAAAAGAGGAATTAGACGGAGGAAGAAGAGCCGGCCAAAAATAGTCAGTTTCTGCTCGAGCCTGGCCTCGTCTTGAAGCCTCCACCACGCCTCCCACCACTCAAACGTTAGTCAGCCCCCACCTGATCCTCAGTGGTGATCACCTCCACCGCTGAACCTGCCCGGAAACTTTCTGGGTGTCCAGGTTACACAACTTGAACCCCCTTTTTCCTGTTCATCCTTTGAAGCAAACTTGAATAGATTGCTTTCATTTGTGCTGGGTGTGTGTGACTGGACTGAAAGAATGCTATCAGAAAACAAAACACTGATAAAAAATATGATCACTGTTTTATTATTACACACCCAGAGATAACAGGAGACGGACGGATTTCATTTGTTATAATTACAGCCAGTAAAAAGGGGGCGTGGGTAAACAGTCGCATTCCTCTGGCTAGAGAAGCATGCAGAAAAACAGGAACACAGGGCAGGCAAATATGATCAAACCAGAGCTCAGGAAACGTTGTGACCAGACTGGTTTAGGGTGGAGAGAGAACCAGAAATGAGGCCGATATTTCCCCTCCTGCAGGTGTTCAAGACACAAACTGGACTTACATTCTCACTGGTTGGGTTTGGTGAGCAAACAGGAAGCAGTGTGGGAAGTGCTTTTGGTGCTTTTGTATTAATTTCTGACAGGAACAAATAATGGAGGACAGACTGTGAGATCTGAAAATTACAGTGGAAGTGGTGTACGTGTGTGACAGCATGTAAACAAAAGAGAGGGAGGATGACGACAAAAAGCTGCAGAGAAATCTGAATTATACTGTCCATCCATCCATCCATCCAACCATCCAACCATCCATCCATCCATCCATCTATCCATCTATCCATCCATCTATCCATCCATCCATTCATCCATG